CCAGAGAATAGTTCATTATGCCACATGGTTACACTGGCACTGACAATTCGACATGGCTCCGCTGGCCCGTGTGTGTGCTCACACTGTTACCGTTAAGATAAAATGTTTATGTTTTCATTGCAGGGATTGCTGTTTGTACTAAAAAGCCAACTGCCAAGATTTGTTTACGCTGGTACTCCTAAAAGTATGCTTTCCCTATTTACATGGATTTTGGCTTGCACAAAGCATAACACTTGGGCCTAGATTCACAAAGCTGTCCATGCGCAGGCCTTCATAACAGCGTTTCTTGACTTGCCTTTACCCTGTTTTCTGCAGATGTTTCGAGGGTTTAAAAGTGCCACAGCATGTTGACCTCCCCCACTCTGAAATATTCGCGTTCAAAGTTCCGCAAGAGTGGGCTTAACTTTCTTGTGCACCTCTTTGCTAGTCCAAGATAATGAAGTGTTATGCTCTTACTAGAGGTGGCAGTGTTTCTAATGTTTGTATTTCCATCACATTCACCAAGTATGCGATCTTGGCTTGACTGGTAGCACATCCTCAACAAATGTCTTTGTGGCACATGTAGAAGGCAGTACAAAATGAATAGGCAGACATTCACACCGGGAGATAACTTCTAATAATGCTTTTTTTTGGAAACCACGGTGTGCTTATTCCAATTTGTCTAACAAGCAGTAACCTGTTTGGCTGTGAACCAACAAGACGTTGAACTAATAGAAGCATCACATCTTGTTGCTCTCAAATATATATGTATTGGCAACCTATCTGTGACACTGTCAAACAAAGAATCAGAATATCTGTGCATGCCTTAAGATATATTGCTTCCTCGACAACCGAGTGAACAAATGCACCCTAGTTTACTAAATTTAAAAAATTTTTTCAAGGTAGCACGGTCTAAATTTTTTGTCTATAGCTTTTGTCGAGCCGTTTGCGTCAGGTACAAAGAAATATACTGAAGATTATCATGTAGCCTTTGCAAATGGTTGCTTTCAAGCAGGCTTTGCCTGCTTGGCTTGTGCCTACAGGTATTGCACAATTCAAGACGCAGCAGCGTATGATAGAACAGTAGAATCGAGAGCATCTATGTGCACGAGCTAAATAAGTATTTTAACATGAGCGGACAGTACGTGTTATTTGCCACACACATGACCACACTTATAATGCCCATTGGTGAATGGGCTCATAGAAATGTCACTCAGCTGTGTATAGGAAACAAGTTAGCTGAACCTAAGGGTATCTTTAACTGCTACAAATATGCCTTGTTGAGGTGCTGCACATTTTCTTCCAGAATATTGCTGTCTGAGACATCATGTGAAGAGCGTCTATCACATCAGCATTTATATGGCTTGCCAAGTAACGTTTGGCCGAACCTTCCTTTTTTCACATTTCGTTTTGCAGTAGACATCCTAGAATGTAAGCGCTGCTGCAGTGTGTGTGACTCATTGTTATGAATTGATTCTGGCATGTTTAACCTCACATTTCTAATTTTTTTCTTGCAGCAATGAGATGCTTCACATATGCCTGCGGTGACGTTCCGCTGGGCTAGCCTGATGGAAACAACAGCTGCGAAACTTGAGTTCTTCAGAATTGGAGAAGTTGCCCTTCTCTCACCAATGATGACACAGACTGCCCTATGCTAGAAATTCAAGATTGTTTATCCACGGATGACGCAGAAAACCTTTGATGTATTGTGTTTGTTTAGTGCTGGCTGTAGTGTGGCGAAGTCTACTTTTACGTGTGGTCACACGTCGCCTCATAAAAAGAACAATAAAGCATTTATTTTCCTTTCAATATTGTCCAATTTTTGTGTTAGAAGCACCCAAGCAGTGCTCTTCCAAGGAGCTCTCGCCATGTGTTAAGCGTGTGACAAGCATACTCGAGATAAATACTCATTTCCCCAAGGAGTAACTGGAAGCATGTGCAGTTGGTTTTCAGAGAGTAACTGCGAACACGTGGGAGGAACGGTAAAGAGTAACTGTTGCTCTTAGAAGAGCAACTGGTGGGAGTAATGGTTGGTCGGCAGGGAGCAACTGGTGGGAGTAACTGTTGGTCTGCAGGGAGGAACTGGAGAGAGTAACTGTTCATCCCCCGAAGGAGGAACTGAAAGGAGAGCAACGGTTCCTCCCTCTGCAGTTACTCCTTTTAGGAGAGTAATGGGAGTGGCAATGCAATTGCTCCCTGAAAGGAGCAACCCCTATACCCCTGTTGCTCCGTTTTGGCTTAGAGTGTACCCCGTAAATAGAATAGAATAATTACCAGAATTAGCGTCTAGTCCCACCTCTTGTGCTTGCTGGCGCACTGCAATAATGCAAGCCATTCTTTTACATCCGTGCTGTCCGTCCCAGAAAACGTCCCAGGGTCAAGTAAATGGGCGGCGGGGGGATCGCAGGTGATGGAGCCGGCGCGGATGGCGACGCCTGAGTGCCAGTTTCAGGCATCGTGGCTAAACAAACCGGGCGTCCACTGCGGAGTTCCAGAGTAGGTTTGTGTGAAGACCCCGCACCTCCACCAAAAGGTGTTACGGGGAATATTTATTCACCGACAGCGAGTCTTCCTAACATTTGAAAGAGCGCACAGTCATGCAGGCCAAAGGGGGAAACTCGAGAGAGTAACCCATAACAACCACGTTGTCATCTTGCAACTTTGGGAGCCATTTCAGCTGTGCCGGAGCGACAGTTTCATACACGTATCAATATTTCTATATGTAGTATACCACGGTCAGATAAACAAAACTAAGACTCCTCGCATAATTGATAAACTACAGTGCCATAGTATGGCACCTACCAACAGCGCGCAAGTGCGTGGCCTACAGTACCGTTTTGTTTACAACCAAGCTGTTGAAACGCTGCCTTCACAATTCATTAAATAGTCGTCATCTTTCGAAAGACGCCAAGAGCATTTTACGATGTGCTCTAAGCATAAAGTGGCACCCACTCTGAAATTATTTTAGTTAATAGAAGGGAGGGTACGATAAAAACAAACACCGCTCCGGGAAGTTGCAATCACTCGCTCATCTTATTACAGTGCTTCACCAGCCGACCAAGACGATATTCTTTCGCACGTCGTTTGAAGAAGTTGCACTCGCGGTGACGTGACCGCACAAGGCACCCTTTGAGAACATGTATTACCCTACGCGCACATAAAAAAAGATGACGTAGCTAGCAGACGACGCCCTGAACAGTCCACACTTGCGTGCTTCAGCCAGTTCTCGTCACGTGGCGACACCACTCGATCTCACAGCTATAAGCTTGTACGCATCGCAGTCTCTGGATGTTTTTTTCAGCCGTGGTGGTCTGGTGGCTAAGGCTCAGCTGCGGATCCGCCGGTCAAATCATCGAATCCCTGCTACGGTGGCTGAACTTTCGATCAGGAGAAAATGCTGTAGGTTCAGGTGCTCACAGTTGGCTGCTCGTTAAAAGAACCCCAAAGCATCAAAATTTTGGGAGCTCTTCACTACGGTGCCTCTTAAAATTAAATGATTGTTTGGAACGTTAAATCCAACAGATAAATCAACTGTGGATGTTTCCCATTATTTTCAATTTCCCCCACTGCAAAGACGTTCAGCTAACGGCCATTCCTGCGCCGATGAAGAGGGCGCACAATACTACACATTTGGAACGCTAACTGGTGACGACATTCCACGAGCCTACCCCCCTCCCAATTTTTGACGTTTTACTTTTTGGCTAGACCATCATTTTGTTATAGCAGCATGCTTTTGAGAACGGGACGCAAAGACCAAGGCGAGGTAAGATTGCCGCAGTCACATCGCCGAAGAGAGTGAGCGAGCCGCTGTGTTTGCGTATGCATTGAATCACAACCAACAGGCCTATTCGGCGAAGGAACCCTTGTGTGTGAAAGGCGTCAGCGGACTCCTCGCTTTTACGTGTAGACTTCTGGGCATCAGTTTTCACGCAACACCGACTCCTATCTGCACGGTAGGGCTAGCTCGCCTATCTTGTCTTGGTAGCAAAAGGAAGCATAGGCGAGAGTTTTGTATATCTCTATGGTGCCAATATCTCAGAGGTCGTCCATATTCGTCCCAAAACGCAAGCCTGCTGGCCCACAATTGCCATGAGCATACTTTTCGTCCTGCGTCGTAGAGATAGATGACGTTGCATATACGTCGTTAAGAGAAGGCTGTATTTTGCTCACGGAACGCTTATTCGCATAAAATAAAGAAGAATTGGATACAGTACAAAACAGACAATGTTGTTTTCTCTTTTTTCTGCGTCTTCATTATCTACAATTGCATGGCCCCCTTTCTTCTCATGAGCTTCTGTTCCAGCTGTAGGCCACTCCCCACGCTTCAGGTTTTCCTGGGTAGAAGAATACAACGCACATGCATTCACGTGGCAGTCTTGTGCAAAAATCACACATGGTGACAGATGAATCTTACTCCCAGAAAATGATAGTTTGTATGGAACTCTTGATAGTGTGTATGAAACAAGTCCAATCAGTACAATGCTCACATGCCACTACTTCTGCCTGCATACTCTATAAACACATGTTACGAAGCCGGGTTTTTTTTTTACTAGGGCAGAATGAAGGCCGACTGTCAATTGAAATCACAGCGGCTTTTGATTACCATGCAATATGGGTGATTACTACTAGCCTAACGGGTCCTCGTTTGGTGCTTACTAACTTTTCGGTGCTCAAAATATTTGTAAATAAAGTCGTTTATGAAGGGTTGTCTTAGCGGGGAACCGTAGTCCTACGCAAGAAGATTCCCTCAACCGCGGGCAAGATATGCGTCATGACCTATCAATATTGAAATTCATATACGAGTGAACTGTACGGTGAGGCTACGTATGCGCAGCCTGCAAGACAGAAGAAGTGCGCTTTTGCGGCAGTTTTCGAATTCCTCTCTCGTAGCTGTTATTTTGCTGCAGGATGTTTTGTTGGCGGGCATGCTCGCATGGCACGACATATTCACCAAGAGGGTCCCTCGCTGAAGTATGCCGTTGCTTCGTTGCACAGGCATGCATGCCATAACTAAGACGCACCAATCATTGAGACTCCAGCAGCGGCCCCACTGGTGTCGCACGAATCCGAAGTGCCAAGTGTCCGGGTGGCCATAGTGGGCAGTCAGCTCCCGGAATGGGCTGTGGCGCCAACTGAACGGTGGAACGCCCAATGTGCTCGGTCCACTGACGGCCTCGAATTGAAGCGACTCGAACAAACGGCGGTTAGTGATCTGCGAAAAAAAACGCCATTGAAGTGAGGGCACCGTTCGTTGAGATCATGCAAATATATTTTCCTTCAACTCGATCGTTAATTCAATTTGACTAGTTCTTGCGTAACATAGACAACTAGTATAGATAAGTCAATTGGGGTGAAACTGCAACATCCGGAGTTTCAAACTCGCCTCAAAACAGGAGGGGGAGTTGAGCCAGTTGGTGGACTTTTATTTTCAAACATTTTTGCTAAGCGTACCAACAAACACGGACGGCATCAAGTAGACAGGACAGTAAGCTCTGACATACCTATTCTTCTTGTCCATGTTTTTCGGCGTGCTTAACTACACGTTCAAAATGTATCCTCAAAAGACATATTTAACACCGCAGAAGATTGCCGCCAACGAGAACCAAATTTGAAGTGTATCCATAAGCTTGCATATTTTTATGACATAAGAGGATGGAGGCGTTTATTCTGGGTTGTTTTGACGGATAGGTGGTGGAAAGTTTTGTGTGGGCATTTCTGTGCCCTACATTGCGCCTTTAGATGGTTACCGCAGTACTGCAACACACGTGCCAAATTTTGCTGGAGCGACACCGGTTTGTTGCGGGCCATCGCCAACTCAGCCAAAGAACAAGAACACAGCCGCCACCAGGGTCTCTAGCTACGACTGCACGTGGTTGCTTTGGAAAGTGTTAGTTCCTGTGCAAGAATCTACGTACTTCCCGGTCATGGATTTTGTGCACGACAGCTGCGCGCGCTTCCACCGACCAATCCAAAGAACGTTTTCACGATAGAAAAAAAAACACGCAACCGAAACCCAGGATCCGCGCACTTGCAAGTGCGCTAGCAGAGAGAAAGTAGTTGGGAGGGAAGCCGGAAAAGAAAGTGGTTTCTGAGTAGGGAGCCCAGATTACAAGCCGTTGCACACTTTGAAACGGGGAGAATAGAAAAAAAGTAAAAGTAGATATTGTCCTCTGCCGTTTGAGCCTTCTGCGTCAATCCACCACATGATAGAAATGTCAGATTGTAGCTAGCGATAAATTTCAGTACTCCCGGTTAAGTTCTGATTTATATTTGTCCGAAAATCGGCCACGATGCGACGAAATGACAAACTTCGGTTAAAAGCTACCAGGCACCAAGACACGAAGTATCGGTATGTTTCTTATTTTGAGTTATATTGACAGAAATAGTTTTTGTTTAGATCACGCTGCAGGCTTATGGAATGACCGCGTACGAATGCTTGCTCCGTGACGTGATGCTTCCTCTGTGATTTCAGTTGTAGTCAAGGTTGGGTCGGTTAAGCGTTATTCCGTGCTCTTGTAAGTACAGCCAGCAGCATTAAGTTAGCAAGACACCACAGATGAAGCACGACGACTTGCGCAAGAAAGAGCATCTCCACTGCACTTTACGAAATAAATGTTTTGGCAGAGCACAATACAGCTTGCAGCAAAATCCGTCCTTATTGCTTGTGTCGATTCACTGTCTAAGCATTCATTTATTTTATAGTTCCTGACTTTGTTCATTGTGTTTTTTGCTGCAGGATTACATTGCAAAAAGGTGTGGTGGTCCTCACTTCCGAATATTGTGTTGGGGCTCCATCAGCCTGCTCGTAGTAACCGTTCATTCACTGGGATTTAAAAATTATAACGTTCTGTTTCCACTTGGTTCACTTATATGTTTAATTAGGGAAAAATAGTCTCATATGATAACCACGAAGATACCCTGGTTCATCCCTTCGGTTTGTACTTCAAGAGTGGGATGACGGATTTTCGTGATTTCTAAGACTCGTTGACTGTTGTAAGCCCACTATATTGGGCAGCTTACTTCAACATGTCATTCTCTTAGGTGCAATAAATGCAGGTCTTGAAAATTATTAGCAGCAAAAGGAACACCATGCCAATTAACGCGGCGTGTGACAGACCATATGTGCCGTTCATTGCAAAGCATGTTTTTTATCGGCGTTAACATACGGGTTGTGAGGCTCTACTCGACAAAATAGTTTATTAATTTAGGCAATCGGGTGCGTAAGCGTCCCAATATTGAAATAAATTCTGGAGCATCCACAAACTCTAAATCGTTAGCAGAAAGTCCCTCGGGAAAAAAAGGTGCTATTGCTTGCACCGGACGGTCTTTCGTGACAACACAGCCGCTATTTGGAAACAAGCTCTCAGCGCAAAATATGGTTTTCTGTCAACCTACACTGTCACACTGACCACTATAGAACGTATAAAAAGGTGTGCGATGACATAGTGTATGTCTCTCTGTTTAATAATGCCTTTTATCAAGCCTATATCAATACTGTATGTCATATTCGTTCGGAATCATTCATTCTGTTTCGGAAAAACAGCGCACTTTTTTCAGTCAAGTGTATTTTGTCAACAAGAAGTTTCGCGCCTGCGAATTGGCACCTTCAATATGCAGCGAGAAAAAAAGACAAGGTTCTCATCTGATCAGTTTGCCGGTGTTCTGGTACAAATAAAGTGAGTTGTCCTGTATTCAACTGCTGCTGTTTTTGCATTGTGACACTGGTGGTGGTGCTGGGTACATGTTCGGGACACCTGACAACTGCCCTGCATCTAGCCCTGAAAGACTTCCGCGCATCGACACCCTGGTTCACTGCAGCAGCAGCCACCTGTTAGGCCTCAGTCCGGAGTTCAGTCCATTGCTGGAAAGCTTGACCGTGCCAAAAAGCATGACGGCACCTAAAAGCACTGGCCCCAACATGTCCAGCCCAAGCACGACACAAGTGACTATTTTGCGCCCTGTACTTCTGGTTGACTTCCACGAAAACACTTATGGGGACGCACATGACTGGCTCGACAAATTCAAGCACACAACGAATGTTAACGGGTGGAGCAGCACACAGAAATTGGGCTACGTGTATTTTCCACTTCAAGACGGAGCCCAAACTTGGTTTAGGAATCGCGTGTGGTCGTCTTAGACGAGTTTTGGCAGAAGTTCCTCGATACGTTCGCAAGCCCCGAAAGACGAGAAATCGCACAGCGTCTCCTCGAGTCATAGATTCAGAAACCAAATGAATTCATTCCGATCTTTGGTGAGGATATGGCAGGGCTGTTTTGTCGAGCAGATCCCAATTTGCCCGAAGCCAAAAGGGTTAGCCACCTCATGTGTGGCGGTAAGGAGCAGCTGTTCGCTGGTCTTGTGTGAAACCAGCTTACATGTTTTTATGAATTCTCTAAGGAGGCGACATCTATCAAATGCTCTCTGCATCTACACTACCGACAATATGACCGCCCAACCCACAGTGCACCAAACAGCGTGGCAGCCACGACCACAGCAACGACACGCGACGAAGGTTTTTTGGGGCAACTGATACGAGAAATCGTACAAGAAGAGGTCAAGAAGCTTGTCGCCAAACAGAATGACTGCGCAATCGCCTCAGTAACAGAAGTTGCGCACAGGCGGCCATCACTTCACAAAACTGACATCTAGCGTACCCCTGACAATGGGTCCCTGTGCTTGCATTGAGGGAAGCAGGCCACATCGCTCGGTATTGCCCGTATCGCGTTGCAGGGTACTAAGGATTTCTTTTCACTATTTATCGGCGCCATTTCAACGAAACGACTGACGTCGACACGACTGTCATGACCCCGCGAGATATTCTTCCAGGGTTTCGGTCGCGCTCACCTTCTCCTGGGCGTTATTCGCCATCCTCTAAACGGAGCTCCACTGACATGCCGAGAGGGAGATCGCCCAGTCCACGCCGGGGAAACTAAAAGCAGCGACCTCAGGGGGAAGGTTGCGAATTGTCGAAGTGATGAAAATACTCCAATACTGCTGAGTGAAGAGACAGTTTTTCAATGATCCGACGAAAGATGGGGCTGTTACTGCCGAAGTTGCAATTAGAATTTACGGACATGACGTCGCGGCATTCATCGACACTGGCGCGGACTTCTCAATAATTAGTGAGAGTCTGGCATACAAGCTGAGGAAAGTTAGAATTGAATGGACGGGACCGCAGATTAGAGAATCTGGAGGGCAGCTACTCACACCTACCGGAAAGTGCACCGCAAGAATGAAGATACTGGATGCATCCCTCTTGCAACTTTCGTTATTTTTTCCGAATGTTGCAAACAGGCAATCTTAGGAATAGATTTTTTGCGTGAATATAGTGCCATCATTTATATACCGGACGGGGTACTGACCTGTTCAGCGGATCAAAGCGCAGCGCTACACCGAAAATCTCTGCGCGTCATTGACGACGTGACCGTACCTCCGCTATCGTGCTGCCTTGTTTCGGTCTCGTGCAGCTCGCAGCATACTGGAGAAGGAATTGCTGAACAAGTATTGACGCTTCTACTCTCTCGCGGTGTTGTGATTGTCAGAAGTATCGTCAACGCTGTTTGCGGTGAAGCGGAGGCTCTGTTGACGAATTTTACCAAAGAGCGACAACACATTACACAAGGCACTACAGTTGCCAACTTCAACGAGATCACCGAAATCCGCGAGTGCTGTGTAGCTCAACAGGAACAGCCGCAAGCGACGTCAGCCCCACTACCTATTGACGTAAGCACGGATTTATCACCAGCGCAGAGTATATCTAGTAAATTTTCTTCAGCAGTTCAAAGACTGTTTTTCATTGAGCTCGAGGGTCAGTCAAATGCCACTGACGAAGCACCGGATAATAACGGAGGAGACGGCAAGACCAATACGACAGAACCCATACTGCGTAGCACCGAAAGAGCGTGAAGCAATCCAGGAACAAGTGAAGAAAATGCTCGATGATGACGTCATCCAGCCATCAAAAAGCCCTTGCTCAACGCCAGTAGTGCTGATTAAAAAAACAAAAGCTTGCGATTTTGTGTCGACTACCGCAAGCAGAACCATGTGGCAAAGAAAGACGTACACCCATTACCACGCATCGATGTTTCCATCGAAAGGCTGAGGTATGCACGCTACGTCTCGTCAATGGACCTCAAAAGTGGGTATTGGCGAATTGAGATCGACGAGCGAGATAGAGAAAAAAATGGCTTTTGTAACGCCTGACGGGCTTTA